ATGCACTCACCTGTCGCGTTTCACATCCAGATACATCTGGGAGAGTGTGAACGTTACACTGCCAGGCATTCAATCAGATCACGAAGTGCCAATGGTGTTCTTCAGAAAAGAAAAGGAAAAAAAAAGGTGAAACCAAGCTAAGCACTCACGTGTCGCATGTTACGTCCAGATACATTTGGGAAAGTGTGGACGTTACACTGCCTGGCATTCAATGCTCCCCGTGTCCAACGGGGAGTCTGACCACTTTTTTCTCCTTTTCGTTTCTGTTTTTCCCCTCGTTTATTTCAGTGTCCGTGCGTTTCCACATAGCACACCACCAGGACATCGTGCAGTCCCCTTGCCCCGTTTCCATGGGGCCACCAGCTCCCTCCCCCATTGCCATGCCAAGCCTTTGCCGAAGCGCGGAAAACGCGTAGCGTTAACGCTAAGGGCCCGCGGCCGATGTATGGGCCAAGTACTGGTGGTTTAAGATTAGCTGGTTGGTGTAAACATAGAAAATGCTGGGGCTAGGAAGAATATGTACACAGTGGGGGGACGACGCGACGACCTGCACGGTGATTCTGCACAAAGAATATGTACAAAGAATACTTTGGGAATGACGGGCGGGGATCGTGCAAACAGGGTCCACCGGCCTAACTGCCTTCTCCCTTCTCCCAAGAGGGGCAATGCAGCTAGCTGTCGCTGCAGTATGTTGTCTGTACAAACAAGAAACCATGATGTTTAGGGACGCTGGACCCGTTTTCCAGCAGGTGCTGCTCCCCACCAATAGAATGGAGCCTCCCCAACAGTGCTAGTGGTGCCTGCTCTTATCAGCACCTCTAGCAGCCGATCGGGTTGTTTCTTCAAAAAAAAAAAAAAAAAAAAAAAAAGGAAAAAAAAAAAAAACCAAAAAAAAAAAAAAAAAAAAAAAAAAAGACAGGCTAGACAAGGAGTGAAGGGCTCATGAGAGACATAAGGGTTGGTTTTGGGAGATACAAGGGTCGTAAAGACCGAGGATGGTAGTGTTGATGACAAGTGGCCAAGGGACTGCTGGGACCACAGCCCCCCCCCCACCCCACCCCCCCTCTGTGCCCTGCCCTCGTCGGGATTACCCTGCTGGGTGCCTGGGTGCTGCTACCTTCTTCTCCGGAACATAGCGCATATGCATTGTATTCGAGTTTTCAAATAGCGATTTTGTCTCTCTCCCTTAAACCACCAGTCCACCTGCGCCTGAAGGCGATGCACTGCGCGCCCAGCTTTGCCGACCCGCCAGCCGCACACTTTTTCCCCTTTTCTGGCTGGGCCCCACCAGTCATTGAGGTCGAGGAGGCCCGAGCCGAGAAATTTTTGGAGTAGCCGATGGTACGTATTTCTACCACGCTGGGCCGTGTACTGGCAGTATAACCCACCACTACCTCCACGTTTTTAGGCCGTTAACGCGGTGGCCGAATCGGTGCACTGCGCGGGTACATATGCGTTTGCATCAGAGCAGGGGGAACCAGGGGGCCTAAGACCCCCTGGGGTACTGGTGAATCAACCCACCACTTCGTCTCCCAGGCGACTTCGAGAATAGAAAATGAAACATTCCGGGTTCTTCGGAGGCCGGGCACTACCGGATCAAAATGGCTGGCGGTGCCAGCGGAAAATAAAAATAAAAATAGAAATAAAAATAGAAATAAAAATAAAAATAAAAATAAAAAATAAAAATAAAACTTTGAAGAAATAAAAATAAAAATAAAAAAAATAAAAAACCACCCCGGTGTTGCTTCGGCGAAGCTTGGGCTAGCAGGGGGAATCCGCCTCGTACAGAAAGAGACTTGGAGGGAGTGGTGGTCCAATAGAATAAGGGCATACTCACACTAGGACTTTCAAGGATGTATGAGACTGCTCTTCCGGCCCCGCCTGGATGCACCTGGCCCCAATAACGTCCAGAGAGAAGTGGAAAAAGTCCTAGTGTGAGTACGCCCTAAGGGGATTGACATGGGGATTTCACCATTTCTAATGAGACTTGGGATAAAGTTACCATTCACTTTTTGGTGTACTTCCTTTTTTTCTATTTTTTTTTGTGTCTTTTTCAGTCCAGGTTTCTGTAGAGGCTAGATACTACCGTCTTCCCCTGAACGTAGCACATGCCTTGTATTCGAGTTTTCGAAAAAAAAGTCAACGATTCGAATAGAATGCGCATGCCTTGACTTTTTGAATGTAAGGGCTATTCAAATAAAACACGTATGCGTTGTATTGAAATAAAAAGCACAAAAAAAAAAAAAAAAAAAAAAAAGAAAGCAACCTATGCGTTGTATTCCTTTACAACACATATGCATTATGCTCGGGGGAAGACGGTAGGCATATGACAGTCCCTCTTTCAGTAGTTGGCCATCATTGGTCACTACCCAGTGTCCATGTTGGAGGATTTCTTGGTCTAATTAATGCTCACTCTAGCGTCTTCACCCGAATCGAGCGCCCGGTCATTATAGCTCCTCTTTGCCACAACTTCCGGTCCAGATGCAGCGATAATGACCGGGCGTTCTATTCGGGTGAAGACGGTAGCGCTCTGGATTGGGAAGTTTTGGAACACATCTTTAGAAGTTTGTGCACCGCCGCCGCTACTGTGGACAAACCCGTGTTTTTTTTTTGTTTTGTTTTGTTTTTTGTTTTTTTTGGGAGAAACCATCGGACAAGCTGACTATCCCAATGGTGGTTGGTTTTGGTCTGATGATTGTAAGACCCACACGACCACACACAAATGCACGCCACACATGCACACACACCCGCACAGAAGAGAGGGAAAATTGGAGTTGTACTCTTTTTTTTTTTTTTTTTTTTTCTAATTGTAGCCCAAACCACTTTAAATTTGGCTGTTTTTTTGGACCCAGGACCACCGAGGCCAAGCTTGTTGCTATACCCCCCGCCACCATGACGAGCAAATTGTTGGCGCGCCCAGGAATCATTTGCGACCACAAAAAATTCCCATCACACTCTACTACCGAAACATTGATAATTGTCCACATGCTCAGGATCGTAGAGGACCAAACGGATTGCTGTTATACCCCACTACTGGGTCACACATATTGTTTGTATGCCATTCTAACTTGGTTTTTCTTTTGCAGCCAGGACCCCACGGGCAAGCTTGTTCCAATAGCCCCCGTCCCATGCTGAATAAATCTTGATGTGCATGGGTGTCATTTGGGTTTAGGGTGCTATAGGCCTACCGTCTTCCCCCAAACACAACGCACCCTTATTTTGGCTGTATCTGGCCGGAAATATAGCTTGTATACATTCATTTTCAGGGTGCATTATGTTCGGGGGAAGACGGTAGTGCCACATGCCTGCGATATGAGTGGATGAACCACACTGTCATAATACCCCACTACCAGATCGCACCACATTGTTTCCATCCCAGATGCGACCCCCTCTCCATCCCCCGACCCCACCTCTCTCTCTCCCATGTGAGCATGTAAATATGTGTGTGTGTGTGTGTGTGTGTGTGTGTGTGTGTGTGTGTGTGTGTGTGTGTGTGTGTGTGTTGCGGTGTGTGTGTTCACGCGTGTGTTATAGATTTTTCCCCACAACAACCCCAACTCCACACAGATGAATAGATTCAGAATCAAAGCATTTTTNGTGTGTGTGTGTGTGTGTGTGTGTGTGTGTGTGTGTGTGTGTGTGTGTGTGTGTGTGTGTGTGTGTGTGTGTGTGTTCACGCGTGTGTTATAGATTTTTCCCCACAACAACCCCAACTCCACACAGATGAATAGATTCAGAATCAAAGCATTTTTTGACATTTTTGTCCTATTGCAGACAACGAGAGCATTTGAGATGAGACAGTCCAAAATATTAAAGCAATTTTAAAATTAGACAGTTTTTAGTGGGGTTGTCCTTGGGGTCCCCCTTCCATTTGTTCTTGTAGCTCCCCTTTTACTGTGCCCCTTTTACTGTGCCCCTTTTTTTCTCTCCAGATCTTGGTATGCTCCTGTGTGCTTTGTTTCTCTCCAGATCTTCATACTCTTGTTCATTTCACTTCAGATCTTCAGCTTATACTTAGTCTTTGTGTCCGTCCATCTTCATACTCCCGTTCATTTCATTTCTGAACTTCATGTAGTCTGTTCTCTTAACGATGCTTGTTCATATATCTTTGTTAGTACCACAAAGGAGGTGGAGGATAACAAACATGTTGGGTTGAGGAGCAGTTAATGCCTACGGCGAGCGGCCAACACTACAGACCGGACAGGACCGGTTCGGGCGTGGACGACTATGGAAGCACCGCATCCAATTCTCGCAGTCACAGTTGCTGCATCGAATGGTGCCGCGCAGACAGACGTCACAGGCTACGTGGCTCCTCAACATGTTAGGAACACGGAGGCACGTCCGTCGCAAGTATAGAGGCATTGCCGTTCCCGCACCTGTCTGCAAATTGGACATAACGTGTTCGGGTGCCATACACGAGTACAGTACTGACTGTCTTCGTGCGGACAGAAGCAAAAACTCGCCAGGACTATTCCTTCATAATCCTCACGGCACAAGGCATGCGAACCACATGCCAGTCGAATCTCCGGTGGGTCGTCACATAGCAGCATGGACCATCTTTCTTTGGCTTCCTCAGTTTTTATTCCTTTTCTCTATAGACAAAGTCAAAAGCAATATAGTTTGCTCAATTAAGGTCAGTTTCAACTCATAACATAACGAAACCACAGCACCAAACGAGACAGACAACGGACTCCATAGCAAGTGTTCAATCCATCATAGTTGGAGAAGCCCTTGCATTTATCCGTGTGTGTGTGCATCCGTGTTTGTTTGTGTGTGTGTGTGTGTGTGTGTGTGTGTGTGAGAGAGAGAGAGAGAGAGAGAGAGAGAGAGAGAGAGAGAGAGAGAGAGAGAGAGAGAGA